ATGTAAAACAAAGAGGTTAGACCAGTGGTCTGCACTGCAGACTATAGGCCAAACCCAGCCTACAGCCTGTTTTAATACAGCCTATCAGTTAGGGTCTTTTTTTTTTTTTTTTTTAATTTTAAAGTTATTAAACATACACACACGAATATGCAACAGAAACTGTATGTGGCCCACAAAGCCTAAAATATTTATTATCCGGTCCTTTAGAGTTTTTGCTGACCTCTGAATTACACCAAAGAATAGCCAATCTGCTTACATTTTACAGGGGGTGAAACTGAACAAAGGCAGAACCAGAAGAGGACCCAGGTCCTGGAAACTCTGGGCCTTGACTCTTTCCCCAACACCCCTGCCCATCACATTCCAGTTCCAGAAGAAAAGCACTTTGAATCCACACCCAAGGTACTCACTCACACATAGAAACCCCTGCTTTACACTGCCTCCACCCTACTCCAACCCTCTACCATCTCGACTTACACCAACCGCCACCTGAGCTCCCTACTTCCCTTCTGCCCCTCCCACAATCCAATCTTCATTGGCAGCCAAAAGTGAAATCTCATTATGTCACTCCTGAGTTTAAAACTTTCCATGTATAAAACTATTTCATTTCCATTCATTGTTATTCATTAATAAGACCTATGACTTTAAGTCCATGAACTTTCCTTAGATCACTACTTTATCTGGACTGCATAGCTTCTGGTATATTAGTAATGCCTGAAACTTCAGATTAGATTTGCTCTTTGATCCATGATTTTTGTTTTGCGTTGTTTCACAAGTTTACAAACAGAGGTTTCTTTGTAATCTTCTGAGTTAATAACTTCTAATTCTTTTGAGACGAGACTATTGCCTATACTGCCCTTATTTTTTAAATATTCTATCTACATCTTAATATATTTTGTTTTTGCCCATTTGAACTGTCATAAAATAAGAAGCTAATTATAAACTCTACTACTGTGTTTTATAAAAATAAATATGTAAATAAAATAAACCAAACTTGCTCTAACACATAATTAAAAGCAGAAAGCAACAGCCATAGTTTCAAGTGTATATTTACAAATCTACCACACCCTTAATAGCGATTAAAGCCAAAATAGTAAGATTGACTTACCATTGGTTTACCATAAAATGGAAATCCTTGTAACTGTCTCAAGGCGTTCGTGGATGAGCCTAATTCCTTAAATATAACAAAGGCTTGCCCTCTCATCTTCATGGTCTTTAAAGCCACAATATCTACCACATGGCCAAACTGAGAAAACAGGGCATATAGGGATCTCTTCAATTCTGCGAAAAATTAGAGGGGAAACAAGTTGTGAATGAAACAATGACAAAATTCTCCATAAAATGACACTGCAGTGAGTGCCTCCTCCACCATGCACTTATTTATTTACACGGAGTTACACATTTTAATAAAAACATCATACTATTCCTATGGACTAATTTAAAAAAGTTATTTGAAACCATTTTATCTACAAGTGAAAACAGCTTCAACACATTTTCAGCCCCTATTTTTATTTTTAAAAAGCCTTAAAATCCTTACACAGAAAGAAACAAACCATTATTTCAGGCACTGAGAAAGAGGTCTAGATGAGAAGTTTTGAAGCAGTATAATTTTTAAGACAGTAGTAATTAAACACACTTTGGTTGTGAACAAATATTTTAAAAAAGTACTTACCTTCTTTTTTAATTTTGTCATTCATATTGTTGATATAAATTGTATGATTTGGTCTGATATCCATGTTTTGGGTTAAATTGTTCAAACAGCCTAAAGAGACAATAAATATTGTTACAAATGGGAAAGACTAACGTACTGTAGTGTGGCATAAGGACACAACACAAGGGTTAAATTCTCAATTCTCTTTTAATCCCAAATGTCAGAAATTATCAGTTTAGTTGTAGTCTTTAAAACCTCTCCAGGGCCGGCCCCGTGGCTTAGCGGTTAAGTGTGCGCGCTCCGCTACTGGTGGCCCGGGTTCGGATCCCAGGCACGCACCGACGCACCGCTTCTCCAGCCATGCTGAGGCTGCGTCCCACATATGGCAACTAGAAAGATGTGCAACTGTGACATACAACTATACCGGGGCTTTGGGGAAAAAAAAGAGGAAGATTGGCAATAGATGTTAGCTCAGAGCCGGTCTTCCTCAACAAAAAGAGAGGAGGATTAGCATGGATGTTAGCTCAGGGCTGATCTTCCTCACAAAAAAAACAAAAAACAAAAAAAAACCTCTCCAGCACTTGCTAGCCCTCCTTTGTAAACAAGAAAACAGTTCTCAGGCTCAAAACTCGGGGAACACTGGCAAAAAATATTTGCAAACGGTATATCTGACAAGGGATTAATCTCCATAATATATAAAGAACTCACACAACTGAATAACAAAAAAACAAACAACCCAATCAAAAAATGGGCAGAGGAAATGAACAGACACTTCTCCAA